CATCCATAGATATAATAGATGGTACAGGATTTAAGTGTTCATATTCAATGCTGTATCTGCCTCTCTGAGCTCTGTCCTCATATGTTTCAATGAGAATGTCTTTTTCTTCACATTCTCCCTTACAGAAGATCTTATGTCTTCCAGACAAAGAGAAATCAAAGTGACACGAAGCTCTGATGTTTCCTCCTTCAGTTCTTGTATAAGCGATGGGGTCACCACCGAGGCAGGCAGTGTTTCCATCCCACAGTGCTGTTGGAAAGATGAACAATCAATAGTTACTATCTTCCTGTATGATCCTGCAGTCTGATAATAATGAACAGATCCACAGAGTCACACTGAGAGCTGATCAGTGCAAAATCATTGTTTACTGAAGTATTTGCGTTTGGGAACAACTGAACAAACCATATGTGAGATGCAGTTAAAAGATACTGAAAAAGTTAGCTAAAGTGAGTTTTTATGGTTTTGTGTTTGTTTCTTTTTTATTTGTGTTTCTTTTGTGTTTGTTGGTTTGGTCAAATTCCCATTTCTCATGAAAATTACTTTTTGGTTTTTTTGCTGATCCTGTGGGTGCTCCAGGGCTCAGCACCCACAGGGGATCGCTGATTCTAAGTTTTCTCTATTACTCTGTAAGAAATGTAATCCCTTTGCTCAACTTATGAGACTGCAACAGAAAAAGAGGGTTAGGGTTAACCCTAACTCTGTCTTCAGATTTTGAGATCACTTAGTATTAGTACATTTTAACTTAACCCTAACCCTAACCACAGAAACAAACATCATGTTGGACAGTCCTCTGTGAAAACAGTTAAACACATGCTGCATAAAGCTCACTGACCAACAAGGAAAACTAAAGCCAAATCACATAATAAAGAGAGAGAATGATAGAAACAGAAAGAGAGTGTACTCACAGAGGAAGACGACGCAGATCAAAGTGTGACAGACCTTCATGTTGGAGGCTCTGATGGGTTCAAGCTGCATCTCTTCTGTCTTCACTGGAAAATTAGGAACTCCTCATTTCTCTAAATGATGGAGTCCCTCCTCCGAAACCACAAACTCAACTTTCCTTTCCTCTTTTTGATTCTTTGTTCCACAGCAGAGTGAAAAACAAATTGTAAACAAACTGTATGACTACAGTGTGTCCACACTGATAAAAAACCCCTCTCACTGTCCGTTTAGTCCATTATTGAGTTCTATAAGTGTCTTTTTTTCTTAAAAACAAGTAAATAAATCTGCTGTTTCAATAAAGCCCAACTTATTCAAAGCGTTCTTTCTTATGTTTTTTTACAACAGGAGAGTTTTTGCTTCAGTAGAAAAAAAGTGAATGAAATGAATGTGTGAAGAACATTTTATTGTGTAATGAAGAAGAATAATTTTTGTAAAATGAAGTAACACAAAAGGATGAACTTTTTGTCTTTACAGAAGAACTGAAGCTGTGAGAAACTGTCCAGTACAATCCCTGAATCAATTTATTTAAAATGTTAAAAACTGAGAAATCTCCCTAAATATGAGATAAAACAACCAACGCACCCACTCTGAGAATCTAAAATGTTCTTCACCTCAGGTAACATAACCACATAACATTATCTGCCTCACCACAGGGGGCGCTGTTGAACGAGGCAGCTGCACTGTTGGAGCTCAGAGTAAGTGAGTTTACTGGAAGTCTAGAAGAAAACAAACAGAGGTCAAAGGTTATCCCTCACTGACTGTTTTAGTCTTAATAGCAACTGGAAGCTTTTATTTTATTTTCAGTAAAAAACAATGTCAGCAGCTTATCAGAATTTTAAAAGAATAACATATTTCTATCAGCATCTTAAATCCAGTATTGAACACCGTCAGCTGTGTGTGAAGTTAATTTTCATAGTTTCATGGTTCTCTTTTATTTCCAGTGTGAAGTTTATTATAGAACCAGAGGTTGTTGCAGCCGGCCTCTAGTGGCCACTGGTGGTACTGCGACTCAATGCACTTCCACACAACTGTAGTGCAGGCTGTTTAAACAACTACAGGCTCATGTTTCAGTGTGGGTTATTCATATTTTATGGTTCTATATGTCAGCTCAAACATGCATGTTAACAGTCAGTTAAAATAACTGCCCTTCCTGTGGTCCCAGGACAGGAAGCCCCTCAGCTGCAATCAGCTGCTTGTTGAGTTTACTCGCCTGTTTGGTCACATAAGCATCATTTCAGCATGTGTGCTGCTTCACGTGAACTGTAAACAGGCTTTTATCTCCACATTTTATATTTGATATTGAACCGTGTATCTCAGTACACAACCTTTCCCTCTCTCTTTGCAATGAAACATTCAGTCCGAGGACTTCCTCCTCAAACCCACAGAAGCTTGTAGCTTGAGATATGATCACAAACTGGCCTGGTGTCAGTTTCATAAAAAGACAGCATGTTACTCAGAAACATAGACTGACGTAAAGTTCTTGTGAGAACATATTTTTAAAACATGTCCACAGTCTTCTCTCTATTCTGCCACTGCAAATTATCCCTCTGCTGTCTGATGAAGTTGTTACCTACTTAACTTATTATAGTGGGTGAAGTCTAAAGATACTATTGTCTAAACCCAAAGTTAAATGAGCAGTGTGTAGGATTTAGTGTCATCTAGTGGTGAGATTGCAGATTGCAACCAACTGAAACAACCTGTTTGGTTTGTCCTGGACCTTTAAACCCCTACCACAGTTTTAACTCACCTTATTCTGAGAACTGGCTGCAGTGAATGTAAACTGCAGATATTTCTTCAGGAGGAGATCTGCTCTGTGTGTCCTCCTCTCTGATCCTGGCCTGCAGGAAGAGAACAGGGGTCTGTTTGTATTAATATCAGCTGCTGTCACAAACACTAATAACGCTCATTGGCCCAAATTTACTCAAACTCACCTCAGTGACATTAACATACTCCACAGCAGGTTCTGAAAAACATGCACTTCAGAAGATCAGGTCCACTGCACTTTACTACTTAACTTGTGTGCATGAATTTCTGAGAAATGGTCAGTTTTAGACGTTCAGTTGTGTTTGTTCTGTTTCCTGCAGTCTCACCTTTGGGTTTACTGGCCCTCTTCCTGCAGAATATCAGCACAGCCGCTGATAATACGATGATCATGACGACCACAGTCAGACGCACATACAGCTGCACACCTGTGGTTGTAGAACAGGTTTGGTTTACACTTTGTGGTTCATTATGAAATATCTGGGAGTCTGCATACCTGGACTTTCAGGTACATGTGCGACCTCAGAGTCCATTCATGCAAAAAATCTGTCAACCAACAATTAATACAAGTTGTTTAATGTTTATGTTCTACATACAAGCATGAACACACACATGCATGTACAGATTTTACGCTGCAGAATAAAACATCACCAAGGAAACACACACACAGATAGAAGCATGAATGAGATGGATGCAGCTGTTCGGTTTGTTATGAATCAATACTTTGATCAATTTGACACGTTAAACCTGTCAGCTGCTTCACAGATACATCACACACTATTGGTTGGTTTGTATTGTCACTCAGCACTGAGAGGACAACTCAAGCTGTGATTAGTTTGCTGTTGTTTACCAGTTTTAACTAGATAACTTTGAATCATGATGTTAAAGGAAAGTTGGAAGAAGGCAAATTTCAGGAGTTAAAAAACATTTCACATTTATTGCAAGCAGCCATAATGTAACTCTACTGTGTGGTTCAGTTAACTGGGAGACTTCTGAATGCTGTAAATGTACCTGGACGCTGCAGCCTGGATGTCTGTGTCTGGTGTGTCCGGGGTGTTGGAGGCTGGATTGGGGAGCTGGATGGTGTTAAAAGGGTGCTTTGGCTGGGCGCCCGGGTGTTTTCCTGGTGTTGGTTTGTGAAGCGTTGGAGCTGTTCGACAACACTGAAAAACAGCAATTGAAACTATCAGAGATACTGATTGTACGAATATACAAAGAACTCTGTCGGGTAACATTTCATTGAATATACCACAAATTCTCTGCCCAAACAGTCCAAGTGTATCAATGTAGTTTTAATCCATAGCAGTGCCTTAAATTGCAGGAGGTGCATCAATGTTGTGGCCGTCAACAATAGTGCGAAAGCAACTGCACGTTGGCAGTGCGTTTCTGTGTGTGTCTTATGTTCTGTGTATTGTGGTGTGGAATTTTCTAGGTATTATTTGTTGGACAGAGAACTGGCCTGTTGGTCATTGTAATGGTATGTGTTCATGTGAGCAGTGTGTGGGTTCATTCGTATGGTGTGAGTGTCTGTAATATGTTTCAGCTGCCGAGAATAAATGTAGACCTTAATACTATGGGTTATTCAGACTATACATCACAGCCTGTTCAGTGAACACTTTCATTTCAGACTCCATGTAGTATATATCTCATCCACTTGCATACGCTTGAGCTCAACGTTCCGTCGGCGCTTAAATGAAACGTCTGTCCAACTTACATCTGTACCGCCCCGAGTCAGACTTAGTCAGCTTTGTGATGCTCACATACAGAAGTGTAGAATGTTCTGGATAAAATCCTTCTTTATATTCAATGCTGTATCTGCCACTCTGAGCTCTGTCCTCATCTGTTTCAATGAGAATGTTTTTTCCTTCACATTCTCTCTTACAGAACATCTTCCTGCTTCCAGAGAAAGAGAAGGAGCATTTAACTGTGATGTTTCCTCCTTCACTTCCTGTATGGACGAGGTTTTCTGCATTAATGAAACCAGTGTTTCCATCCCACAGTGCTGTTGGAAAGATGAACAATCAATAGTTACTATCTGTTCTTCCTGTAAGATGTTCCAGTCTTTTTTGTCTCACATTTACACAGATCCACAGAGTTATACTGGGAGCTGCCCAGTTAAACCAGTCTGTGCTATCAATTTAATCCCAAAAAGGAGGAAGAGAGTACAAACAAATGTGCTTTTTGTTTTACCTTTCGTAATTTTTTAATGCCACTAAGTCACCAGTGGCCAAACTCATCCTGTGCATCCAAACATTGTTCACACAGAACTTTATTTCCAATTTTAGTGGAGACTTCAAGGTCTTTAGTTTAGTACATTGTCAAAACTCAATTGAGCTGGAAAAACGTTAGTGATAGTAGATAAGTGATAGGGGGAAATAAAAGAGGAAAAATAAATGTTAAGGGGTTAAACTTCTTTTTCCTTGCATGGAAATTGTATTTACATCCTTCAATTGCTTCTTTGAATTTGAAATGAGGTTTCACATGTCAAATGTCCCCAGTATTCTGTGATGGTAGGTGGACATATGGGGAATAAAATTCAACAAACTGTTAACAACAATTTGCGATTGCGATTGAGCAAGACCGCTAACAATAGTTTACTGCAGCAGTGCTGTATAAAAGGCCACCTTCATCTAGTACAAGGCTAGTCGAGACGAGTTAAAATGAGAGAGACGGAGTCAAAACGGAGACAGAAATAAATGACTGCTTTTACTATTGCCAGTGAGTTTTCAGCCAGGTGTAAGTTAGGTAACCAGGTAACTATGGTTACCAGGCAGCCAATGTCAGTGCCTGTTCTCAATGGATTTTGAATTGAACTAATATTCTTTTTCTCAACAAGCACGCTTCATCAATGGCTTGGAGGACGTTACTTGCTGGATTCAGTCAAGACCAACTACAATATTTGACCAAGTCTGAGACAAGTCCGAGGGCAAATACCTAGAAAAGACATCTGGACTGTACTCGAGTACAGCACTGACCTGTTGCAGATTGTGTGCCGCTAACTGAGATTTGAATCCAGATGTGTAATGGGACATAATTGTCATGATGTTTGATGTGTCATATGTGTAACTGTGTGTTCAATCTATGTGTACATTTCTGGAAGAAAACTGCTTGTGGATGCAAAATGAATGAATTTGTATGATTTCTATTTATTTATTTTGTTTACAGAAACTATTAGATAATTAATTTCCTTTGATAAAGTTTTTATATAAAAGGTATAGGGGTGGGGTTACACATTTTTTGAAGCAGCACAGACAATCAGAGTGGCATCTCAAACATCTATCAAAGTAAATATTAATAAATATATAGAAAACAAGAAGTGAAAGCATCTATTTGCTCCCCTCCCCCCTTTCACAACCTTCCTTCGGTCTATAATAATAGGTGTAGATAAGTAGTTTCCTGTATTGCTACAACAAATTCAGCTATAGTCAGGCTGAACATATTCCTCTGTTACAGTCAAAATACAACAAAAAACAACTGCAATGCATTTTGTTACATATAAAACAGGAACAGCAGAACAACAGACATATGAACAATAGGCCGGCTTAGTACTTTTCACTAAGTAGGCTGTGATGTTTATCTACAGAAACCAACAACAATTTCTCAAGAGTTCACTCATGAGAAACTGTTTCCCACGACTGCAACGTTTAAAATTAAGTTAAGATAAATTAATAATGAATCAATTATAAATCAATAAAGATCATACCGCAGGAAGACAGAGTGATAGAGAATACTCACAGAGGAAGAAGAAGACAGATCAAAGTGTGACAGACTTTCATGTTGGAAGGGCTCTGATGTTTATCGCTGGCCTCTCTTCCGTCTTTCACTGGCAAACGCAGGAACTCCTCACTTCCTTCCCTCCTCCAAACAGCACACACACCCACACACACAGACCTCTCCACCCCTCATTATTATGGGTTTTTTCCCCACTGCAGAGTCAATTACCTGCAAGTTTATGTGTGATTTTACATAAAAACTGGGTCTGATTGTAACTTACAGCAGCATTAATGCCATATTTCCATCTACACTGCAAAAAGTCTCCATCTTATTCAATTGTATTATTATTTATTATTATTCTCTGTCTAATAATAAGCTCTATTACATGTCTTTTTCATAAAACAGCTGATGAAAATCTGCCAGTTTAATCTGTTTCCAATAAAAAATCTACTTTTCAGACAGTAGAACAAAGATAAATGACACTTTATTTTGTACACAAGAAAAAATATAATTCATGTAACACAGTTTGACAAGAGGGTGGACTAAAACTGGCTGCATCTCTCTGCTGATGAGAAATAATTAAATACAATCCCCGAAGCAACATTCCAACATTTTAATTGTTGAAGCCGTGGTGGGCACCTAAAACAGCATTTAATAAATACAAAGGGTGGTTTCATTATTTTAGGTGAGAATTAAAAACAAATCTTTATACCTTGTTGTCAGGATCGTGAGGTAAACAGTAGAAAGTGTTTAAACGGATCTTTATTACTGTTCAGCGTCTTGCCCTCTATCTCTCCCCCCAAACTGAAACTCGCAGCCTGAAGACTTCCTTCTCGAAACGACAGATGCTTGTGGTTTGAGGTACGATGGCTAAGATCCTGTTTATGTTAAGTCTACCAATTTAGCGTCACACTTCTTTCCAAATAATGCAAATCAATGCCGCAGAACCAGATATTGACGTTTTTATTCATCTGTGAACCTCCATCCAATTCATTTCCTATTCTGAAGTGAAAAAGGGAAATTAAAAATGTTGCTTTTTTTAAAAGTGGTTTTGTCACTCAGTTAAAAAAAATGGATATCAAAGCGTTTTCTGACACGAAATACAATTTATAGAAATTCTGTTTTTTCAGAACTTTAGAAATGTATTATTTGGTTGAAAGCATGCCAATTGATAAAAGCTGCTAACAATAATTACAATTATGAGCTCCAAAGGCCTTGTGTATCATATACAGGTATTGCATAATCTGAACTCTAATTTATCTGCAAATAAGAAGACAAACCAGTCAACATGTGAAAGGATGTCAAGGGTCATATGTTTGAAGGTCTGAAAGAGCCATGAATATAAATTCTGTCTTTCCCATTGCTTTCCCGACTGTATGAATGGAGATCTATATGATGTAGATCAATGGTTCCCAACCTTTTTCCTTAAGGGACCCCTTTTTTATCAGTACACTGACGACCCCTGACTAAGCAGCATATTTTATGGATATTTCATGTTATATTCGATGCAAAGCAATAAAGAGTGAGCAATAATGGCAGGACGTTTGTGTAAAACGAGTGATTTAGATCAATTCTGACCAGATTATTTCCTGTGAATATTGATCAGAGATTAGTTTTCCTTATAATTTTGGGACCTTTTTTAATACAATTCTCTGAGTATCGTCTACTTTTTTATTATCTAACAATCATTCATACTTACTAATGTAAGGACTAGGCTGTTTTTCTAAACTTTAGAAAATAACATTTAAATTTAGTT